ACACCGCCCCACAGCAGCCCCACCTGCCCCACACTGCTCCACACCAACCCCTCCCACCACCCCACCTTGGGCCAGGATGTCCGACTGGACGTCCCCGTCGTAGTTCTTGCATGCCCAGACGAAGCCGCCGGTGGACTTCAGCACCTGGGCGACCATGTCGTCGATGAGTCGGTGCTCATACCAGATCTTCAGCTTGTCGAACTCTGTCTTGTAGTGCCTGGGAGCCCAGGGCGGGTGTCAGCCGTGCCTGGCCATGCCCACCCCAGGCCAGGTTCCACAGCCAACCCCTGGGCAACAGCCCCCTCCTCAGGGGGCAGTCAGCCCCCCTGGGGCAGCTCTCCCCCCCAGCAGCCCGAGCTCCTCCAAGTCCGTACTTATCAAAGATCTCCTGGAAGATGTCTTTGAAGCGCCCGTCGTAGGCCTTGAGGATGGTGTTCTTGGTGCTCATGTAGAGAGGCCACTTCTTCTGGATGGCATACTGGAAGCAGCTGTGAGCGAAGCCCGAGATGGACTGCAAGGGAAGCACACGGATCCCCGTGGGACCCCCGTCCCGCCAGCCTGGCCAGGCCCACCACGGATGGCAGGGCATGCGGCCCCACAAGGACCCTGCCGGCTGCCCCTGGCCCACCCCATTACCTCGTCCGTGTTGTACATGCCCCTGCCCACGCCGCTGCCAGGGAAGTTGTACACCTCCCACTCCTTGGCCCCGCTGCCATCCTTCGGCGTGAAGACCATCTTGAACGTCCCAGACTTGCCCACCACAAAGTCGGTGGCTTTGTACTGCAAGGGGCAGGGCAGAGCATCGGGCAGGGTCCGGCAGGAGCTGCCAGATGTCCCTGCGCCACAGGCAGCCGCCGCGCAGGGCTCACCTGGTCGCCGTGGGCATGCCTGCCGATGGTGATGGGCTTGGTCCAGCCGGGCACCAGGCGGGGGATGTTCTTGCAGATGATGGGCTCTCGGAAGACTGTCCCCCCCAGGATGTTTCGGATGGTGCCGTTGGGGCTCTTCCACATCTTCTTCAGCTTGAACTCTGGGGTGCGCAGAGG